AGGGGCCGAGATTGGAGAGGGTGCAGGTTGGGCTGAGGGACACCTCCTCCCGTGCACGAATTTCGTGCACCAGGCCACTAGTCGTATAATAAAGAACTAAACTGTGCTAAAGTGTCTAGAATTCAGCCTCTTCAGTGTACATCAGTTTTCAGCCATTTCAACTAAGACTTTTCTTATGACAAACAAAAAATAATGAAAGTAGCATTTACTATGTTGGAAATGCAAAAAATAAAAATAAAAATACTGCTAATCCCATAAAATATTTGGGACTAATTTTGTTTTCATAAATAAATAAAATGGTGTTGGTGTTTATCTCTTCTTAAAGTTTTAATTATCATCCTTACTGTTTTAAAAAAAAACGTTCAAACTAGTGCCAACCTTTAAGAATAAACTTTGGAATATTTAAAAGAACAAGTTTGGAAAAATGAACCACATTTTTCATTGCCAGAATTATGCTTTGTTCTTGGTAGAATCATCTTTGTTTCTTCTCTTTATGTCCCAGTGATAAACCCTGGCCATACTGACTTCAGTGGTAGTCAATTGATCTTGAAGAAAGTCAAGGTCTTCCTCACGAGAATCCAGATTCTTTGTGGCAGTGGTTACATTTTTTTTCAACAATACCTGAGCTTCATCAATATCATATTCAAGCATTACATTAGCCCCCAACCACAGACACACTTTATCGTTAGGAGGAACTAAAGCTTTGCAGTACAGGTTATCTGCCAGTAAGAATCTGGTCTCCATTGAATTGGTGTACTCTTTCTTCTGCACGCATTTCAAAATTTCTAAAATCTGCTTAATTTCAGGAATCTGACCCTTTATTTTATTTTTTTTGACTTTTAAGTCTTTTTAAAAATTTTTTTTCTTGATTGATTAAGGTATTACATATGTGTCCGTATTGCCCCATTACCTCTCCTATCCCCCGCCCCTCACCCCCCTGTTGTCTGTGTCCATTGGTTAGGCTTATATGTATGCATACAAGTCCTTTGGTTGATCTCTCCCCTTTCCCCTCACCCTCCCTACCTTCTCTCTGAGGTTTGACAGTCTGGTCGATGCTTCTCTGTCTCTGGATCTGTTTTTGTTCATCAGTTTATATTGTTCATTATATTCCATAAATGAGTAAGATCATGTAATATTTATCTTTCTCTTACTGGCTTATTTCACTTAGCATAATGCTCTCCAGTTCCATACATGCTGTTGCAAATGATAAGAAAGGAATCTGACCCTTCAGCCTCCTTTTCTTTTGAACAAGGTTGAGTTCCGTAAACTTACACTTCTGGTACTGTTCATCCAACTTCTTTAGCTCTGTACCCGCAGTCTCATTCCCAGGCTGTTTCATGTAGGAATCCACATGTTCCACAAACAGCTTCAGGAATCCCTAGGTGAAGCCGCTCCGCGTTCCCTGAAGCCAGTTCTCCTAAGCCACAGCCATCTCTAGCCACCACCATCTTCAGGAAGTGAGCATGTGTGACTAACTCTTCCCATCATTTCTTCATTTCTCTGTTATATATGACATTTACCTCCAGATTTTTACTAGTATATGTTAACATCTAAGTGTGTCTTGGGGTGGGGAAAAGAATAAGGGCTTCCTTTTGGGAGACAACTTCTGAGTCTCTTAAATGAATAATAGTACAATTTGTGTTTTAGATTTTACAAAGTCTCTCATGTCACATCTCATTTGATCTTCACAACCATCCTTTGCAGAAGGCGGAATAGATTTTATTAGTTGTTATTTGTTTATTTAGGTCAGGTGAGTAATCAAAGAAAAACATTAGACTTCCTAGGACCCCTAACTAGTAAATATTTCTGAATTAACATTAGAGCTAAAATCTAATTCCAGCTCCAGTGCACCATACTGCTTATCCATTATGTTAGACTGTATTATCTATATATCACTTTGAAAAGGCAGTCTAAAGGAATGCAATATAGGATGGCTAAGCTCAATATGAAGTTTGGCCTTGAGTGATAAAGTGCTAGGGATGAGAAAATTTGTGCAATTATTTTTCAGATAATCACCTTTGTTGAGAATTGTTAGTAATAGGACTCTGACAATGTGACCTCACATACTTAACTGATTTATATTATGGTTACTCACCTTAATACAGGCTTTGGGAGCATTATGGCATAATTAACATCATAGGCTTTATTATTGGCCTTTGTTTCAAATATCAGCTTTGCCAAAGACTAGATGCATGCCTGTGGACAGGTTAAATAAGCTTTCTAAATCTTAATTTTCACATATGTGAAATGGAATGGTAATACTAACCTCATGCATTTTATGAGAATTAATGACATAGTGTATGTTAAATGATTATTTAGCACATTGTCTGGCACCAGAGTAAACACGCAGTAAACCATGGCTACTAAACACATGAGACCTTGTTCTGAAATAGTCACAATTGTGGAGTTTTACTATGTTACTTGGCTGTAAATAATTAGTTAAAATATCTGACTGTAGCCCTGGTCGGTTTGGCTCAGTGGATAGAGCGATGGCTTGGGGACTAAAGAGTCCCGGGTTTGATT